TGACCACCGCCCTCACCCCAGATCAACCACTAACAGACTCAAGGGCAACCCAAGAGTCCATGGTGTGGGGCTGACCACCGCCCTCACCCCAGATCCACCACTGACAGCCTCAAGGGCAACCCAAGAGTCCACGGTGCGGGGGCTGACCACCGCCCTCACCCCAGATCCGCCACTGACAGCCTCAAGGGCAACCCAAGAGTCCACGCTGCAGAGGCTGACCACCGCCCTCACCCCAGATCCGCCACTGACAGGCTCAAGGGCAACCCAAGAGTCCACGGTGCGGGGCTGACCACCGCCCTCACCCCAGATCCACCACTGACAGACTCAAGGGCAACCCAAGAGTCCATGGTGTGGGGCTGACCACCGCCCTCACCCCAGATCCCGACACTGACAGGCTCAAGAGGAACCCAAGGGTCCACGGTGCGGGGGCTGGTCACTGCCCTCACCCCAGATCCACCACTGATAGGCTCAAGAAGATCCATGGTATTGGGGCTGGCCGCCACCCTCACCCCAGATCCCACCACTGACAGACTCAATAGCAAACCGAATCACCTTGCCAGTTGGTTTTGACTCACAGTCATTTTCCACTCAGACCTGAGCTCAGGCTGTAAATCACAATGATAAAAGACTATCTACATTTAAGCCTTGTTAGATTTGAACCACTGGAGATGTGAGGTCTTTGAGTTACTAAGCACAACTCACTATGAACTACATCACCAGAGACTTGTCCCCCAAAATCCGTGCTGGAATTCTAAGGAGCTGCACTGGCAACCCAAGAGTATACGGTCTCAATCCGTCAGCTGCTCCTCGGGAGAAATCTGGGCAATTCACTCTCTTGCGATTTACCGCCTCTGAATACCTACTGGAGGATCAGCTGTGAGTCAGTTCTGACTCGATGGCACGGAACAATAACTACGTGAAAAGACTGGGGTGGGGGCATTGAACCCACCAGCTGCCCCTGAAGAGAAAGATGAAATGGCTTGTGTTGTGTTCACAGTCTGCATTCTTGGAATATGGGGTAGGTTCTACTCGGCCACACAGGGTTGCTAAGAGCCTCTACGGTTGTCTCCACTGAGCTCGTGGATGCAAATCTTGTTCAGAAGTAGGTTTTTCTTTGTTGTGTCAATGAGGCCCTGTGGGTATGGAGCTCTCCTAAATGGAATCGCTTCTGAGTGATGCAGGTAGCGGGGCACAGAGACGCGCAGGGACAGGTGAGGGGAAGAGAAATGGGTAGGAAGGACCCCAGGAACTGAGGACCACTGAATTCCAGAAGCTGGGATGACACAGACCAACCCCCCATACCCTGCCTCAGGGAGCACACCCCAGATCAGGACTTTGAGCCTCCTGCACTGTGGAGAAAAAAAAAAAAAAGAATTTGCTTTTAAAAGCCACCTCCTTGTGGTATCTCACTTATCGCAGCACTAGGAAACTAAGAGAGCACCGTGGGGCCATCACAGCTAGGCCGGCGCTGTCAGGTCAGTAAGAGAGGCTCGAAGGTGACAGTGACCTCTGGGCACGGCGCTCCCAGAAGTCACCAGCGAGGCTGGCCCGTCCGCTCTCCAGCACCTCAGTGGACCTCAAGCAGGACCAGCAACTGCAGGCTCTCTCTTTGCATGGTTCTCTGCAGAGCCTGCTCCTAGAAGACCTCGGCTCTCAGGAGTTTCCATCACAATCAGGCTGGGCCCCATACGCAGCCGTATTAGAAGGGTAAGCAGATGGGGGATGAAGCGGGGGCTGGCTCCCTGATCCTCTCAGTTCTATCAGAGTGGTCCAGGCCGGGTTTTAGCACGCACCTTCTCTGAAGAAGTGCCCTGATGCCAGAAAGATGAGTCCCTTGTCAGGAGACAAGGAGACAGGGGCCCCTCTGTGAAGCTGATTCCTGATTCCTGCCCTTGCACCCACACTCTTCACCTTTGCCCTCATTCCATCTACAGGACTCCTCTTCACCCTCCACATCCCTCAAGTGCCCCCCTGGTAGAGGCACCTGGAGCAGACAGCCTGGCTCAGTCAGGAGTAGCCATCACTCCTGCACCAGCCTGGCCACTGGACATCTGTTCCAGGGTGTGGCTCCCAACTGAACTACCACGCTAGTCTCCCACAGAGCCTGAGCTCTTCACACGCCAGGGTTGCCGTGGGCATCCGTTCGAGCCCTCACTTCAACCCAGCAGTTCCAGGCCCGGTCTGGTCCTCGCCTCCTCAGTGGCAGGGCTCAGCCACTTCAGGCAGGATGATGCTGTCTGGCCCCCAACATCCTCTGGCTTCACAAGACCCCACAGAGGAGTTAAGGGACAGATCCTGGCCTCACGACTAGGGCCCCACAAAGGGGCCGGGCTCTGAACAAGAACACCCTGCTGTCCCCACCAGTCGCCCTCAGCCGTATGACGACGGGAGAGGCAGGGCCTCGCTCTCCCTGGGCGTCCCCCAGGCCAGTGACACCACACCTCACACCAGCACCACAGTGGCAGCCGCTAAACGGGCGATTCCCACAGGCTGCCGGCACGCTGTGGTAATTGAGCTCCAGGGGACTGCCTCTTTCCTCCCTTCCACGGCTCTGCCATTTCCCATGGCCCAGCTGCAGGCCCGGAGGGGAGATGGGCAGTCATACTGTGCAGGTCCAGTCACACTGCGCACAGACTTCTGAAGCTACCTCACCAGGGGAGCAGAGGATATCTCAAAGGAGTCTGACAAGGCAAGTGCCCTCCATGACGCCTGCCCTCTTGACGGGGTATCCAACTCAGAGACACAGCATCCTAAACCTGCCCCATTCTCAATTTTAATTCTCCAATCTTTCGCCTAGGGTGAGAAGACATAAGGTTTGGGGAAGGCCCCTTCATCAAACCAGGACTGGAATGACAGACTTGTTCAGTTCACATACCAGTGGTCCCACGAGGTCTGGTTTTTCCCTGGCCATTGGGAAGCTTGCCAGTGACTAGGGTCTCTCAGGACGCTATTTACCTGCCTGTGTGAGTCTCATGTTTTCCAGGCCACCTGCAAGATTCTCCTTCTTGGACAGCTAGCAGGTCTGCCACCAGCCATTCTCACAGATCCTCGGTTCAGCAATCCACTGAGAGACCCAGGAGATTTCGAAAACATCACTACAAGTAGGCTCAGAATGAAACTGATAGAGCCCTTTCAAGGTACTGTGCTCTGTCCATACCTCAATCTCATTTGGTTCTCCCAACAGCCCTGTGAGGTATGGAATTTTGTCTCTATTTTATGGATGAAGAGACTTAACCTCAAGCCTCTTAGATCAAGGATACTGTTTAGTAATATAATGGGCTCCTGAAAAATGGCCACCATGTCTTAATGCTAGGAGCCTGTGAATATGCTATTTTATACAGCGAAAGGGACTTTTAAAAGCTTCAATTAAAGACTTAGAGATGGAGATTATCCTGGATTATCTGGTGGACAAAAGGGTCCTTATGAAGAAGAGCAGGGTAGGAAGGCGAGGGTGATGCCCATGAAACAGTGTCAGGGTGCCCACTGCTGGGTTTGAAGATGAAAACCCCGGAACATGGGCTGCCCCTGAGGCTGGGAAGAATTCTCCTCTCTGGGGCCTCCAGGAAGTCCTGCAGACACTTTGCGTTGAGCCCAGGGAGACCCACTTTGGGTTTTGTCCTTCAGAATGATAAGATAACAAGCAAGTGTTGTTTCAGGTCACTGAGTTTGGGGTTACTTGTTAGTGAAGCAACAAGAAACTAATAGAGATGCAAAGAAAATGTAGGACAGAGCCCAGCTCTGGTCCCCGGGGTACCCCACTCCAGGCCTCTGCCTGAAGCCCTCTTGTACCTCTGCACTATGGCATCAAAAATCACCGGCCCCCTTCCTGTCTCCAGACAGAAGAATCTGCACAAATCCTTTTTCTTCAGACCCTCATCTGCCAAGCAGGAATGGGACCTGATGCCAGGGCGGTGTCATCCACACAACACGTGTGAAAGCCCAGTGAGGTGAACAAAGCTGCCAGTTCATGGTGACTTCCTATGTTAAGGGCAGAAGGAAGTCTTCTTTCGCTTTTCAAAGAGAAGAGCGAACTGGGGGGGAGGGGTGGGCAGGGAGAAAAATGCAACAATGAATGAATGGAAATCCAAAACCTCTGTAAATGTTCATTAAAATTAAGGAAAAAAAAAAAAGAGAGAGCAGAATTATGTTCCCACAGACTGTCAGGAAGTCGATCACCAGACCTTTTTTCTGCGGTACCTCTAGGTAGATTCAGACCACTACCTTTGTGATTAGTTGTTGTTGTGTGCTGTTGAGTTGGAACTGACCCATAGCTGACCCTCTCCAGTGGGTTTTCAGAGGTTGTAAACTGCATGGGAGGAGATTGTCCACCTTTCTCCCACAGAGCAACCAGAGGATTTGAACTGCTTGTCTTTGGTTTGATGGCACAATTCCTTACCACAAAGTCACCGGTGGCTGTTGCTTTTATTACATTTTGTTGAGTCTCTTGCGACTCATAGCGACCCTAAGTACAACAGGTCTGAAGCCTACTCTGTCCTGAGACAGTCTCACTGACTCTAACACACCAACTCCCATTACCCCAGTTACTGTGTCCATCTCATTTCGGGTCTTTCTCTCCTGTGCTGACCCTGC